ATACTTTATTTATAATATTTTAAAAAATAAATAATTAAATATTAAAATAATTTATAATTTACAACATAATATAACTCAATGCAATCACAGCCATGATGACCGTTGTAACTATTAAGTACAGTATTTTACAATAATCTCGAGTGCACTTTTATCATTTCAGAAGGCGAACGTGGATGCTGACTGTGATGAAGTGGGACAAAGTCACAATTTACGCCCGTTTAGTGGGCGCATTGATTTGGTCTCCGAATACCACGGAAAAGATAAAACCTGTGATGTAATAATAACGTAACATGACTTCACCGTCACGACAACATACGCTGTCTGGCGCCAATTTGTTGGCTGCTGAAGCTGGATTGATTTCCTCCGCTGAACATTCGTACACTTAATTTTTAATTTAATGGGGTTAAATTTTGTTGCTTATTTATTTAAATATTATTTAATATTTTTATTTTTATTTTTATTTTTATTTTTATTTTTATTTTTATTTAATTAATTATTTAATTAAAATGGCTTATATGACATAAATGATAAAATTAATATTAAGTTTTATTATTTTTAATGTTAATTAATATAAAAAATAAATTATTAATTATATTCTTAATTTATATTTTTTTAAAATATATATTAAAAAAACCAGACTAAAAATTAAAAATTGTTTGATAATTCTCTTGATTATCAGCGAAGACTTCTTCTGGAAGAAGATACCTTTCTAAGGACTTTAATGAAACAATCATTAACGTCGACACACGTCACACACCACCAACTCCACTAAATGTGGAAAATAGTTCTTTAATCCACCTAGCACTGTCAAATACAGTACCTCATTTTTTAATCAAAGATTAGCTTTTATTAATTAAATTTATAAAAAATTAGATAAAAAATTTAAAATGATCTTATTTTAATAGAAATCACAAAAAAAATATTAAAATAATTTCATTTTTATTTTAAAAATTAAAATATTTTCATTTTTTTAATAAAATTAATTAAAATAATATAAATTTATAATCCATTTTTCTTAATTTTTTGTAAGTACAATAATTAAATATTATTTTTTTTATCACATAATGATAATTTGTTTACTTATGACACCACGTCAGTAACTGCTCTTGGGCTTTAAATTTGTAGTGATATTCTAATTATAATAATATATAAAATTATAAGTTTATAATTAAAATAT